CGGTTTTCAACCGAAACTGTGCATATATGCATTATTTCGGTTTTTTTCATATGCATTATTTCGGTTTTCAACCGAAACTGTGCATATATGCATTATTTCGGTTTTTTTCGTATGCATTATTTCGGTTTTTTCATATGCATTATTTCGTATGCACAGTTTCCATATGCACAATTTCAGGGTGCCGCAAAAAAAGGCAACATCAAATGTGTATATATGGAATCAGGGATAGCTAAATCGTGGACATTCTTAATCGAATATACTCTATCTCTTTAGCAGAAAAAAAGGCAATTTCCATAAAATCCGTTCCCTGCATAGGTATATTAAAAATGAAGTGATCAGTTATGAAATATATAAATCTTTACATATTCTTTAAAAAATTTTCAAAATAACAGGTGAAAATACCCAATTATTGTATCTTGTTTTTTAGAAGGTAGTTTCACTTAAAAATTTTTGACATAAACCATGTCTGTGACAAACACGCAATGTGGCCACTGCCACGATATAGAACTTGGGAATTTTCGCTTGTTATTTTATATATTTTTTAACAGAACATGTACAATTTATATATATATATAATATATATAACTGATCACTTCATTTTTAATATACATACATATACGTATTTAATACATACATTTTTGCCACTGAATAAAAATAATAAAATTTAAAATATAACGGCAATATTTCTTGTTTAAAATGTTTTAGATCCATCGGACACCACGGACTTTATTGGCCGCCGATATACGCGGTGTGTTACATGAACGCACTTCAAAATGTAATGTGTAAATGCCTTTTATTGAACAGCTGGTCAAGCGTCAAAATATTAAAATTAAAATACCGACAGTTAGCGAAAAAGCAAAATTTATTAAACTTTGGAAAAAAAATTCTAGTAAATGATCTGTTAATGTTGGAGCTGTTTGGAAAACATGATAGTAATATTGAAGTGTTCTTTCATTCAATGATAAAATATTTATGTAAATACGCATGATTTCAGATGTTCAACGAAAAAAGGAAGATGAACTTATGGAAGACTTTAGCTTTTTTAGCTTTCGCCCAACTTTTTAATAAATGTTTTGCCTCATTTGGATGAAAAAAGATTTAGAGAAATTGTGCGAGTCAGCAAAATAACATTTGATCTTATCCTTGACATGATAAAAGACGACGATGTGTTCAATGGTCCGCGTTCATGTAAGCAGTTCCCTATCCAAATTCAATTGGCTGTTGTAATAACTCACCTGTTATGCGATACCCCAAATGACATAGATATTTCTAGTGGTGATTATATGTATTTAAACTGTAATAAATAATGTGTACAAATTCACAAACAGGAGCTAATAAATTCACAACCGCACAGTTCAGCTAGTACACGTCAATTCCTCGATTCTTACTCGATACATTAATCGACTATCGCTCACACATACATGTCCAGGTCTCTACATCTCTCCCTTATTTTTGAGTCTTCTTTTCCATCTCTGAAATCGGATGCAGTGTGGATTGTTGGTGATGACCAGGTTCTGTCTTTATGGTGTAGGTGCTGGTAATGACGATATGTGTTGTGGAGCTCCGTCGCCCTTGGCCTGTGTGTGTGATGTTGACATAGTTGAAGTCGATGTGGTTGGATCTCCGGGGTGTTGTCGTTCTGCTGTATTTGTAGCGTTATTGATAACCGGCAACTTTTTGATATGGCTTATGTTTCTCCTGAAGGTCTTTCCGTTTGCGGAAACTGTCACCTCATGTCCATCTACTTCTTTTACTTGATACTCGGTTGGATCAAAGGTTGGCGTGAGTTTGTGCGCGAATACAACATTACGCAAAAGGACTTTATCCCCCACTTCAATATCAGGTTCCTTCGCACCACGCTTCGTATCAGCCTTCTCTTTCCCTTTCCATTTGTTGATCATGTCCAGATCTCTAGCCGCCGAACCCATCATATCTTCCGATATGTCCTGTATACCCGGGATCTTATCTCTGATGACGCGATTAAACATAAGTTCGGATGGTGAAGACCCTGTTGTACCGTGGGGTGTAACGTTGTACATTAGCGTCAAGTTCTGGATTTCCTTTTTGTAGTCGCGCTTGTTGTTATGTGCTATTATCAAACGTTTTACCAGCGACCGGTTCATGTTCTCTACTTCTCCATTGGCCTGTGGTCAATATGGTGGTGTCGTGATTAGTTCTATGTTGTGGGTTTTACAGAAACTCTTAAACTCTGAGATTACAAATTCTCTGCCGTTGTCCGCTCTTAACGAATTTGGTATGCCCAAACGGCTGAATATCTCTTGCAAAATCTCAATTATGACTCCAGAGGTAATTCTCTTTGTAAACTTGACCTCTTCATATCGAGAATAATAATCGATTAACATCAACACGTATTCGTCATTTAGGAGCGGACCCAAAAGATCCGTGGCAACACATTGCCAGGGCCCATTCGGGAATGAGTACCTCTGCATTGGTGCTGGTTTGTTTGGATGAGATACCAATAAACAACTGATGCATTTTTTTACACACGATTCCGCATCTCTATTTACTAGTGGCCACTACACTTTGGAACGTAGTCTCCGTTTCATGGCCGATTCTCCCGGGTGTCCTTCGTGGGCCAGCTGTAATGTTTTCTCCCGTAGAGTTTTTGGGATGACGATTCGAGTTCCTCGGAGCAATATGTCGCCTACCGCTGCTAATTCGTGTCGGAATGGGTAATAAACATTAGCTTTGTTGACCGACCATAAGTCATTCTTAACAAACGATATGGCATCTACCAGTTCCTGATCCTTGATACTTTCCGTCGCAATCTCGCATATTCCCATAGCTGAAGGTGTGGCGCTCTCGATTATATGAAAAATGTTATAGTTGTGATCATTATCGAAAGTGTTTCCCTTTTCAATTTTGCATAGTCTTGACACGGAGTCAGCGATATTCTCCTTGCCAGCGCGATATATCACCTTGAATTTGAACGGCTGCAGCCTAAGGAGCCACCTTTCTATCCTGGCAGGTGGTTTGGACGTCGGTTTGAAAATTGTCTCCAGCGGCTTATGGTCGGTTACTAGTTCGAACTCCAGCCCCATTAGGTAGTAGTAGTACCTTTCCACTGCCCATACTAGTGCAAGACTTTCCTTTTCCGTTTGAGAGTACCGCTTCTCCGTGTCTGACAAACTCTTACTAGCGAACGATATGATTTGCGTCTCACCCGAACGATCGATCTGCAATAGTACCGCACCTAAAGCTACGGGACTTGCGTCAGCTATGACTCGCGTTCTTTTCTGAGGGTTAAAATAAGCAAGATTGGGTATTTCTGAAAGCGCGTGTTTAAGTTTATTAAATGCTTCTTCTTGGGGTTTCTCCCACACAAATTTACAGTTCAGTTTCAACAAACTTCTTAGCGGTTCAGTGGTGTTAGCGAGATCGGGTATGAATTTCCCTACGTAGGTTACTAGTCCTAAGAAGCTTCTCACTTCTTCCTTCGATTGTGGCGCTCGGAATTCTCTGATCGTCGTGATTTTATTTGGATCGGGAGCAATTCCTTCATCTGATAGTACATGACCTAGAAATTTGAGTTGTCGTACCTTCCACACACATTTCGTTTCGTTTAGTAGCAGACCATTGCTTTTGAATACCTCAAGCACTCTTTTGACAGCCTCATCGTGTTCTTGCTCTGTTTTCCCGAATATGATGATGTCATCAATATAGTTTAGTGCGTTTTTGCAGGAGCATAAAAGCTTTTCAATCACACGCTGGAAAATTTCAGGAGCTGAGTTTATTCCAAACATCAGCCTCTTGTACCGGAAAAGGCCTTTGTGAGAAATAAAAGTAGTGATGTGACGGCTGGACTCATCCAATTCCAGTTGGTGGTATGCCCATTTGAGGTCAATCCTTGAGAATAGTTTGGCTCCTCTCAACTTCGTCACGAACGTATCAAAGGTCGGTAGCGGATAGTTCTCTCGCAACACAGCTTGATTTGCTCGACGCATGTCTATGCATAGCCTCATTTCGCCTCCCTCTTTGAAAACAATCACTATTGGTGATATCCACGACGTGGCCCCTGAAACCGGCTCTATAATATCCTGCACCAGCATCTGATTTATTTTATCTTCGACCTGCTTCTCTAATGCTATAGGGACTCGTCGCATTGCCTGTTGTATCGGCTTGATTTTTGGGTTTATAGAAAGTTTAATTTTTACGCCCAGCATCTTGGGAAATAGTTCTACTACATCCACTCGGTTTACGTTCACTCCTAGTTTCAGGACTCCTAATTGCGCTCCCGTGTCGCGCCCCAATAGTGATTGACATCCATTTTCAATCACGTAAAAAGTAGCAATTCTTTCGGTATTGTTAATTCCTATCGGTGCGTCAAATACACGCAAAACATTTAAAGATTGGTTCGATGCATATGTTCTGAACTGAGTGGATGAGTCTTTACGTTCATTCCATACGACCGCTGCGTTACTTTTCAACAATTCCCAATCGTTTTCGCTCAACAAGTTAAGTCGTGTGCCTGAGTCAATGATCATTGGTATGACACAGCCCCCCACGTTACACTTCAGGTTTTCGTCATTGGACCCATCATTTAAAATTTTGAAACATTTAAACTCTCGCGCCTCTTCTTCCTGGTCGCTATCATCCTCAACGTTGCGCACTTTAAGTGATTCTGATTTTAGTTTTTTCGGGGAACTGTGTTCGCTTCTGGTGAACTTTCGCTTTTTAGTCTGACATTTCCTCGCAAAATGTCCCACCAAACCACATTTGTTACATTTCATGAATCTTGCTGGACACTTCGAGTCTTTTGCTCCATGGCCTTTATGACCACATCTACTACACTCGTCGTCGTCATGTTTTCTTCCAGGTGTTTTGGTTGAAATCCTGTTAATTTTCTCTTCACTCGGTTTAGTAGACATGGATCCCGATTGTTCGTAGATCTGAGATGACTCGACTATCTCTTCAAGGCTTTGCTCTTTTTCTAACAATTTTCTTTTCAATTCAACGGGAGCCCATGAGTCGATAATTTTGTCTTTTATGCAAATTTCGGTAATTTCCGACTTAGTATTGCCAAACTCGCACTTTGACACTTGATGTCTGAGACGCAACAAATATTTGCTAAAATTTTCGCCCTCAATAGGGGACAGGTTCCGAAAAAGGTGTCTCTCAAAAGTGGAGTTGCGCTTTGGGGAGAAATAGTCGTTCAGTCTATCTACTAACACTTTAAAGACATCAGTCTTTTCGTCGGGTTCAACCAATGCACCTGGGATATTAAATGCAACTTCTTGCAACTGTGGTCCGCCCAGGTGTAGCAGTTTATTCTTTTTCTTTACTTCGTCGTTTATGTCTTCTGATCGAAGGTATAAAGAGAAGGACCTGTACCATTTTTCCCATTCTGAACGTATCAGTGCTTTGTCGATATTATCGCACAGAAATGGACGAATTTCGGTCATTTTGCATAAATGTACGTTCAAAATTAATCTGAAATTTGTTTAAGTAAATATTTTGCTTTCATATGCTCAATTGAATGCGCAACTTCAATATACCTGTGTTTGTGAGTTTTACCCAATTCGTGTTATTGTGGTTGCACTCGTATCGTTGCCAAAATTTAATTTGTCACCTTTAGCTTTTCTTGTTGCAGGCGAGATTTAACTCGTCACCTTCGATTCCAAATTGCTGTAGCGAAATTTAATTCGTCCCCTCTTACTTGTTCTTTCTGCAGACGAGATTTAACTCGTAGCGAAATTCAATTCGTCACCTCTGATTTGAACTCGGTATAGGCGAAATTCAATTCGTCCGTCTTGCGAGATCTGAAATCTCAAACTACGTCAAGTTCCAGTTGCTTTTCCTTAATTACGCAACCCAATGTATCACACACTAACGCAATATCAGGAATTCAGCATTTATTCGTTATCAATAGCCTGAGTTCACCGAGTATATATATGTATATATATATATACTCGTTCGAAGACACCAAAGAAAATGGTAGCAACTGCCGTTACTCAAATTTGCCAATCTTTTATTTTTGGTGTCTCGATCCCATCCTCGTCGCCACTGTAATAACTCACCTGTTATGCGATACCCCAAATGATACAGATATTTCTAGTGGTGATTATATGTATTTAAACTAATAAGTAATGTGTACAAATTCACAAACAGGAGCTAATAAATTCACAACCGCACAGTTCAGCTAGTACACGTCAATTCCTCGATTCTTACTCGATACATTAATCGACTATCGCTCACACATCCATGTCCAGATCTCTACAGCTGTACCGACTTGGTTTATGTGGAGAAGGAGCAACAATTACCAAAATTGCAAGTTTGTTTGGTATTAGCGATGGTGGAGTAATACAAGTAACTATTTTTGTATCGGCTTCAATTTATATTTAAACTAAATTTAAATTTTATTTTTAGGTCATGACCAACAGAGTCTTTGATGCAATTCTTATAAGAAAAACAACTTTCTGCATTGGCCGGACCCTATAGAAGGTAGAGCTTTGGTTGTCGAAACACTTAGTGAGTCACCACATTGCGTTGGTTACGTAGATGGAACTGAAATAAAATTGGCAGAAAAACCCAGTGAAGATTGTGAAGCATATTTTTCTCGCAAGAATATATATGGTTGTGACCATAAATTACTAATTCGTCATATGGTGTTGGGATATCCCGGTAGTAGGGCTGTGCGATTAATTGATTATTCAAAATTTTAATTAATCATAAAGTAAATAACTCAGTTATTCGATTAATTGAAAATTATGATTACTCAAAAGATCAATTACTCGAGTAACCAAGATTTTGATTAACCAAAAACAAAAATATATGAGTAATTTGCTTTATGATTAATCAACATTATGAGTAAAATGAGTAATCAACATTTCAAAGTACTGTTTACATATAAAGAAGTTGAAGTTCCTTGATACTTTGAAAACAACGTTTCTGTTTTCAAAAAAATAATTTTTTCATGTACAGAATGTAAAAAAGAAAATAAGCATTTTTCAAAGCAAACTCATTTAACGAGCAAAATTAATTTTTTTGATTAATTGATCAAGTAACTCGATTAATCATCGTTTTGAGTAATCAAAATCTTGATTAATCGAGCAATTGATTAACCGGAAAACTGATTAACCACCTTGGTCGAGTAATCGAATAATCGCACAGCCCTACCCGGTAGTGTTCACGACGCCAGAATATATAACAATTGCGAGCTATCTACAAAAGCCACTGAAATGCTTACAGGATCAGAGTGGTTGGCTGGTGACAGTGCGTATAAATTGACTGCGAGCGTCATTACTCCTTTTAGAACAAACGCAACGGAAGGCACCTTGAACCAACGAAATCTGTTCAAAAGAACTTTCAGCAACTACCGAATCAGAATTGAGCACTGCTTTGGTTTACTGAAACAGCGTTTTAATAGCTTGAAAGAACTTAAAATTCAAATAAAGGGTGACAATTCTGTGAAGTTTGCGTTCAGGTGGATACTGGATTGTGCGATATTGCACAATATTCTTATAATAGAAAACGACCATAATATTGATGTCGACGAAGATAGCGTGAGTGACTATCGTGAGGGCGACGAACCTGGAGACCAAAACTTACCTACAATTGAAGGTGTATCTAAGCGCCTCACATTGTTATCTCTAATGGAAACTTAATAGTAAATTCTTAAAACACATGCAAAGTATATCTAAAAAATTAATTTATGTATTTATGTACAGGTACATTCATTTACACTGTGCCCAGCTACATACACTAGGCGACAAATGAAAGTGTGCACTTTGTTCTAATATAATATTCCCAATAATTTTCGTGAACAATTTTCGCATTAATTGTTTTTGAAAATATAGTTTATTCTATAATATAAACCATATAAATCAAAGTTTCACACTTTATATAAAGCTAGCAAAAATTCAAAAAACTTTCATACAAATTTTCAACTTTTTATTCAGAATTTCTAGAAAATTCTCCAGTACGCAATTCTAGTAAACAAAGTGCAAGTCTCAAGTCGCTAAAGATTACGGTTGACTTTTTAGATTTTTTTTGTATGGAGGGTGTTGCCCGTTTTCTTCCATAGAACGCATGATCAAAAACTATTTTTATATGGACGAAACGCGCAACACCCTCGGGGAAAAATTCTACAAAATCAACGGTAATCTTTAGCGACTTGAGACTTGCACTTTGTTTACTATCATTGAACTGGAAATCAAACTGCATACTTGAAAATTTCTAGAAATTCTGAATAAAAAGTTGAAAATTTGTATGAAAGTTTTTGAATTTTTGCTAACTTTATATAAAGTGGGAAACTTTGATTTCTATGGTTTATATTATAGAATGAACTATATTTTCATAAACAATTAATGCGAAAATTTTACATGAAAGTTATTGTGAATATTATATTACAACAAGGTGCACACTTTCGTTTGTCGCCTAGTGTATGTATGCAAACTCCAAAATTATATTCATACAAAATTACTTTGATTTGAGTTTTAGCTCTATTTCAAACATTTTGATTCTTTCCTCGCTTGCAAGTTTCAGCTTTTCAATTTCCAGCTTGGATTCTCTTTTTGATTCAGTCTCAATTCTTGTCATTTCCATTTGATTTTTCAGTTCAATTTTTTCAACTCCACCTCATTCTTTTCCTTTGCTTTTTCTAATTCTATTTTCGTAACTTCTAGTTCCAACCTTTTCTCCTGAATGAGAAGTAATTTATCAAAGGGGGCTTCACCTTTTCTTTTTGGTTGTTTTTTTATTGAACTTCTAAAACTAGCTGAGCTCAGAGGTGTAGAAGTAACCGCAGCACTGCAATGGCTGCTATTAGGCAATACTGGATCAACTGAATCCTCAGACTCGAAGGAACATAACTCGTAGCACTCGGTGGTATTATTTAATGAACTATCAGCAGAAGGGGAATCGGCAAGTACTTCAATATTTTGAGTGATTTCAAAAATTACTGTGGGATTTACATTTCCGTGTTGCCCGAAGATTTCTTCAAGTAAGTTAAAGTTGGGACAAGTTTTGCTGATATATATTGATATGCTAGATTCGTCACCATTAGCCATTAGTTTTATTTTTCCAGCCTGCAGGGGCAACGTACGATGCCTTTAGGTATCTCATTTTACTTTTCATCGCTAACCAAGGGACAGATTGAAGTGCCGATGTATTGTGCTGCAATTTCTCATAAAACCTTTGAGCCGTCGGTTTCTGGAAGATATATGTTAATTTTTGTTGAATACACCAACATTTTTCTCTATCTAAAATGCTTACCTCAAATGATTCTGGATTTTCCCTTACCACATCGGAAACTGCTTGCAGCAGCTGCAGGGTCTGCGAATCTGTCCAGCGATGGAACGGTTTCAATCGAAGGCCCTTTTGCTTTGGCTTAGATTCCTGAAAATATAAAAAATTTAGCAATTAAACAAATATTAGGTTCTAAGTTTCATTCTTACCTCTTTCATTTTAAATTTCACAATAATAAACATCAGCTGGTCGTTTGGAAGGGTTGCTAAAATTGGTGCATAATATGTGTAAAAGAATTTTCATACAAGTTGCTGCCAAATTTTTACGCGTTGGTAAATTTACGCAGTTTAAGAGGTTTATTAGGCTTTTACACGTTTAAACGAATACCCTTATTATATTATGCTTTACATCGAAAAAATGCGTAAAACCGTAAACTTGGAATCTTTCTAAAAATTCTGAATTAAAAGTTTGTTGTTAAGAGAACCCGCTCTTTTTTTTTAATTTTCGTACAAAGTGTGAAATATCGATTTGTGAACATACATACATATATGGTGTTTGTTAAATTTTCTCTGTCACATAAAATCCGAGATGTTTTATGAGGTTAGAAAAAAATCCAGACGTGATGGAGTAAAACGGACTTCAGATTCGTGTTCAGCGACCCCAAAAACATATAACAGACTAGGTTTGGTCAAAGGAACCTATCATCGATTTTTTTTTTTTGTGGACCTGTGAAATTAATCAACTGGTAAAACTGGTCAAGATGTCTCACTGCCATTATTTCGCATATAAGTACATACATATATGTGTAAACACGTCAGAATAAATATATTCCGGTGTATTTCCCCTTCGTAATTAGAATGCTGTGTTATTTTACGATGAATTTATGTATATACATATGTCTAAGGAATCCTTCATCAAAGTCATTTGCTGTAATAATTTGGTTAATTAATAATTATAATATTACCTCAGTGTATTTTATAACTAGTATTTTTAAAAATATATTGTTCTTAAAAGACCTTAAAAGAAAGAAGTTTTAATTTTGTGGCCCTTTTATCTTCTTTTCGACACTATTTTTGAAGACCATTCGGCACATTTTGAAATTTTTAAATTCCATCCCTGGCATGAAGTAGTCGAGATTTTCTGATTAGCTGAGTACTTTTGTATGGGAACTCTCCTGCGACAAAATTGCGACATTGCCATCACGGTTGCTACATTTGGTCGCTTCCCAGCAAAAAATCGGTAATCGTTTTTAGTGGTTACGTGTTATAGAAGGCATAGCGTTATAATGCCTTCGAATTTGTTCGCATCGTTTAGGCATTGCCGGTAATGCAAAGTAGAATGTCCTATAATATTTTTTTTTTATTCGCTTCTTTGCTTCATTTCGGGGAATGCAAAGTAGAATGTCCTACAATATTATATTTGTTTCACTTCTTTGCTTCATTTCAGGAAATCCAAAGTAGAATGTTCTACAATATTTTTTTTTATTTCGCTTCTTTGCTTCATTTCGGGAAATACGAAGTAGAATGCTACATTGTAGTCAGCTGAAAAAATAGAATGAGTATCCAAAAATTCTTTTTCTACCGTTACTTTCTGTGGAAATTTGTCTCACATAAAAATCATGTTTCGCTTTGTTAAATTTGCAGCGATGTTGAAGTCAGTCAATGAAGTGAACAGGGTAGCCAACTCATTTCTGATAATTCCCCGATTTCGACAATGAAATTCCCGATTTTGTCCCAAATTTCGTCAAATTCCCCACCCATAAATATAGCTTTGTTACAAAAAAAAAAAAAAAAAATTTCTGTTCTGTTTCTTTCTGTTAATTTTATTTTTAAAAGTATTCATAAACCAAAGCAAATCTTTATAAAGTTATTAACAAGTAAAAATAAAAAAATGTTTATATAATATTTAAATACATACAGTTGTCGAAAAAACTTAAGTCGCGCCAGTTACATTCCTTTTGTTTTGTTATTTCATTTGAGTTTTTTTTATAAAAACATAGTTTAACAAATAACGTATAAATCCAAGTTTCAAACTTTGTGCAATATTTGAAAAAAAAATCAAATAACTTTCCTAAAAATTTCGAGCTTGTTACTTCGATTTTCTAGAAAGATTTTTTCATTATAGAATTTTTTTGCCGAAGTTTTTGCGGTTTTCTACCATAAAAAAATAAATTATGTTTATTCGTTATGTGAAATATAATAATTTTTTTTTTTGGCCATTAATAATATAATTTTTGGCCATTTTAAACTTTATTA